CCTTCATATTGTACATATTGTTAGCAAGTCTTTGAAAACATGCTGCTTTCCTACAGGGTGGAGAGTAGCGGTGGTTGTATCAGTTTCTAAAAAAGTCAATGCATCTGACCTAGGTGACCTCAGATCATTAGCTTGTTACCCGTTCTGTCAAAATTGTTGGAGAAAATAGTTAATTTACAAATTTCCACATATTCAACTTCAAAAATTCAACTTAATACCGACACCTAATCTGGCTTTATAAAGAATTATGGAACAACCTCCGATCTCCTCAATCTTCAGGATAGTATTTTAAGGGCCTTAGATGCAATAAAGTCACTGGATCTTGTATGTGTGGACCACTCTAAGGGGCTTTTCATAGTATAAACCATGAGCTTTTACTTACGAAACTTATTTATATTAGTATTGATAAATTAGCAGTATCTTTTTTGAAAAGTTTCTTCAGGGCAGAACTCGGTGTATTTTATTAAACTAAAGATTGCCCTCAACATCGGTGATACCTTTTGGTGTGCCTCAAGGTTCTATATTTTTACGTATGTTATTTTTAATCTATACATTTGATTTAAACTAAACTGTTAATAACTCCCTTAATCAATGATCTGCAGATGAGACTCAGTTAAGTAGTAAGTAATTTGATACAATATTCTTCTAATCACAATCTAAAAATAAATCCAGAAGAATTCAAAATATTATTGTTTTGTAATGAAACCAAGAAAAATGCTGCTTCTTCTCACTTAAATATTTCTATAAATAATCAAGTGGAATACTTGGAGTAGTTTTTGATACTAAAATGAGATTTGTTGAGCATGTGAAGAGTCTGTCCCAAAAAACTTATCGCAGATTCTCTTGTAGCAAATCGATACTTACTGAATTTCAAACTTCGTAAGAAAAGAGTTTAGTCATAGTCAAAAATTACTGTAATAGCCATTTTCCGTACTTAGATTGCTTTACCAAACACATTATCCAAATCATTTAAAATCATTCAAAATAATTTGTGTACGCGGTTCATTTTTGATATACCTAAATTTGACTGTGTTTCAGCCAATTACCAAATATTGAAGTCGATAAAATTTGAGAATTTAGTACACTACCACTATTTGATTTTCATACATAAATTGTTGCACACGTCAAAGCGCTTATACCTCAGAGGTTTTTAGTAAGGATTTGCACAATAGACCTTTAAGACACAACATTATAAATGTTCCACCGCACAACACAACGTTTTAAAAAAAAATTTCTCGTATAAGTTAGCTACCAGATATAATTGTCAACATTCCGCAAGAAAGTTAAACTGTTTATATATTCACTATCCGCTTAATTTTACCATTTCTATACAGGGTGACTTCGAAGTTGAGTCATTTATTTTAACAGTGAGTAGATCTGATCAAAAGAAATGTTTTTTTCCTTTAACATTTTTCTGGTAAAATTAAAGTAACAAAGTTATAGCCCATTAGAAGTTTGAGTACCGCCCTGTCTCAATAATAATATTATGTGCTCGTGTTTGGCAACAACGGATATATCGGTTCATCGCATCGGAAACAAAAAAGCGAAAGAATTTGAAACGTTTATCACGATGTTTTTCGTCATTCGGTAACGCGTGAGTGAATAGTGGTGTTTGTTGCGTGGCTCAAACGAAATAAAAAATGGCACATGTTTACGAAAATGCTGAACTTGTGGACATGCTTCTTATTTACGGGGGGGTAGTCTTTACAAAATGCTGCCGCGGCATCACGGATTTGTGCGAATCGGTTTCCCAATCGAGTGCAACCAACCCCACAGGCCTTTGATAATGTAGTACAAAGGGCTCGTGAATCAGGTGACTTGAGACCTCACAGTGGGAGGCATGCCGGTGCTCCAAGACCGCACGATCAAATACAGGTCCGCACTGAAATACTTGTCGGGAGGGTACTTTATAAAACAAGGTAACATTTTTTTTTGATTTTTTTTTATTTTTACACACATATTTATTTATCTTCCTTCTACAATCATTATCTGAAAATTAATGACTCAACTTCAAAGTCACCCTGTATATGTATATGATTATTGTAATTCTTGGTTTACTTATTTCTGATCCTGCTTTTGTCTGTTTTTTTAAGGTAATGCATAAATTTCTGCATTGTGTTACCAATCGCTAATTGATTGGTTAAGAGTAAGAGTAGCGAATGCTAAACTTCGCCAATAAGTTCCTAAAGAGCATGAAACATCGCTGTCTGCGGTTGGTCGAGGTTATATATATATATATATATATATCTTCTGAAAAACAGGTTTTTGGTCGGTTTTTCACGAGATCTGGACAATTCACTGTGTGCCGGCTCTGCTGATAGAGCTATCGCATCTATCGTCGGCTGAAGGGCGGCACCTTTCCGCCCTTAATTGGAACTAATGTTGGCGGGTGCGTAACCGAACCGGAATATATATCACTCCGATGTGGCAGACCGACTTGCCGGACCCCGGAGCCGGAGTCGGACCACCGCTTGATGCGGTCCGGGAGTTACGCCCGCCAGCCCGGAGCGGAGACGCACGTGAGTTATGGTGACGTTGATGCCGCGTCTTACCGCAGGTGCATGGGAGAGGGTGGCAGCCAACGCAACCGGATGGACTGTTGAGAGAATGGCCGCGTGTTGATAAAATAGTTGACTGAATTAATTTAGAGGGTATAAGAGCAAAGATGACAGCTTAGAACTGAGGATGTTGACAGAAGCAAATTTCTTGAATGATAATAATAATAATAGCAATAATTATAATAATAATGATACTAATAATAATAATAAAAATTATATAATCTCCTAAGAAAAAAAAAATTACATAACATTACGTGCGATAATATTTCGATGATACTCCTATCTTTTATGCACTTGTGAGACATCACTATGCTGGTAGTATAATGCTCTTTTCGAAAACCGAAAAATCCAATACGACGGCTTTAAGAAAAATGAAGCCCTCGACGAACAAATGTTACTTAGAACACCCCCCTTAAAATTCGGTCCTGTGGATGATGTTTTACTTTTGGTCACGACTTGTGAATCACCCTGTATACCGCATAACTTACAGAAGCCGTTTTTAGCAATTGTCTTCAATAAAATTTTTAGTGTCTTAGAGTTACCTATGGACCTAAAGAATGTTTCCTAGGTAATCCCATTTTCTATCTATCGACATTCGACTAATGGATATCGAGCCTGTTATCGACTCCAGAACTGTAGCTTTAGCATTCGCAGCTGCTTCAGTATAAAAAAACTATGCGAATACTTTTTAAATATCTTCGAAAGCACATAATCACATAGAAGCGCACTTCAGAGCTAAATTAAATACAAAACTCGAATGGTGAGAGCGGGAGGCGTATGCAAACAATGCCCTGGGAACCATCAAGAGCCGCATAATACGGAAAGCATTTCCTCGGCTTCGTCTATTGTTGAATGCAAAGCAAAACATTCTTTCTGTGACAGTGAAAAAACAACATCCTTCACTCTACAGCGCGACTACACAAGTGGCAGAAAATTCATTTGTTTACTCTGGACGGCGTCGCAACGTATCAGTGGTGGAGAAAATGGGATTTACACAAGGATGTATACCTCACTGATAATTGCAAAGGAGAGGAAGGATAGTATTGGCTAACGAGTTGAGATGCCAGTACAAGGATCTTGAAGCTGTAGCCACAACGCAAAAAAATTAAGACCAAAAAGAAAGTATGTTCTTTACATGCTGAGCTTTCATTCATTTATTTAATTGACAAATTAGGGACATCAGACAGATAAAATCTCAAAAATTGATATCCACATTATAGTTAAACCTACTAAGCTGTAAAGTACAATTGAAGGGTTTTTTTTCAAAAACAGCCAATGTCGGATATTCAATATTTTCAGGGTACTAAAAAAAACGTCTTTAAGCCGATATGGCTAAAGTTATACTTTTTTTGTGCCCTGTAAGTAAATATACCTGTATTTTACTGATTTGGAGATATATTTGGATGTTATATAAACTCCGGTTTATTGTAAATTAAGATGAAATGTCTGGCATTGGCTGTTTTTGTTGAAAATTAAAAATAAAAGGTACAAAAATTGAAACTGACACTTTATTTAAATTTACAAATGAATTTAAAAGCTCTTCAGAAGATAAATATACATATTTTACACAATATTAATCACACCCGTCACTATTATCATCCTCATAAAGATCGATATTAGTGGCTGATTCGGTGACATTAATTTTTTGATAAAATACAACACTAGCTGGTTTCTTTAGAAAGGCTAACAGATCTCTTATATGTTGTATTTTGACACTATAGTGATCTTTCATACAAAGCTTTTAGCTCTAAGTTGTTTGGCAAAACATTGATAGTTCGAACAGCACAGTATGTCTATGATCCTGAATAAGTATCTTTAGTTTTTAGAGTCGGAAGATATTTCTATAATGCGTGCTTCCCGAAGGCCTACCTTTGGTCAGGGTGTTTTAAGAAAATACGAAGAGCATGCGTTTTGGATTTTGAAGAACATATTTTGACTTATATTAACTACAACAAAAGGAGATGGTTTTACCCTTGCTTCCTGTATTAGAGCATCCCAATCTTTGGGAACATCCGGGCTATTTCGTCTTTTCCTTTTTTCGATAAGGGCGAAAGCTTGATCATTGGGTAGATAGGAATGACCTCGTATAGGAAATACATGAGTTACTTTCTTAAATAGCCTCAATGCATGTACTAGCATATAATGAAAATAAACCATAATGTAGTTTTTGTTTTGCCCGGAGCATCCGTCGCTAAAAATGACTGAATGACTGTGTGTTAGACCCTTATTGTTCAAGTAGTGTAAAATCATTGATGTGACATCATTGGCGCCTTTTCTTGCCACATGCCCCTGTGTAGACGTACATAGCAGCTGAATCGTCTGCTAGGTCATGGATTCCAAAGACATAATACCAAAGCTGACTTTTGTAAAACACGTCACTAGTTTTAATGCGAGGTAAAGGTAGATTTTGTTGGAAATCAAAAGATATCGCCATGCATTTACCGGGCCTTCGCCTCTTCTTTGTAATGGTTCTTTATTTGCCTGAACTTTTCTTTTCGCAAATGGAGATCTTTTTCATTAATAAGTTGTTGTTTTATGTCATTAACAACGGCAGAATTTATTTTTAATGTTAGTTCATCACACTTAGCGCAAGTGTCTGTTCTAGGAATACCAAACGAAATATTGAATTCATTTTTAAAAACTTGGTAATAAACAAGATAGGAGACATTAACCCTAACTTCGTACAGAAATAATTTATGCATTTTGCTTACACTCAATTCTTCAGGCAAATATATTTTTTCCGGATTATCTCGCCGTGAATAATGTTCTTCCTCTAAAAGACTTGATATGCAGTCTTATTAAATTTAATATTTAATTGGGTGTTTTAGATGGTCTACCATTATAATTTAAGAAGGAGTGAATGGTAAACTAACCCTGTTACTCAATAAACACATGTGCACTTAACTGAATGATAATATGTGTGTCGCGACTTTGTTGACATTGGTTGTTTTTGATAAAATTCGCGTGGACATTGGTTGTTTTTGCCAAACTGGGCGATCTTACAGTCGCATTATGCAGTTGACTATGGCAGTTCTTGCTGTAATAGTTGATCAGGATCTGACAACGTTATTTTTACATACTATGGTGCGAAGAGCACCAAATTTCTGAAATCTGACATTGGTTGTTTTTGCAAAAAACCCTTCAATTGGTATAATATTCAATTCTGTAACGAAAGACAAAACAGAAAATGGGTACGTAGCACTCTTTCTATCTTGCAACATTCGATTTTTGAGGATTGAGTTTCATGATATTAGTAGCAGAATACTTATTAATACTTTCGAGATCAATATGAATTTTAGCCTCGGGCCATTTTGAAGTCTTTAGGACGAAAGCTGAAGAATAATTGAATATCGGCATAACAAGTTACAGTCGAGTTTTTAATTTTGACGACCAAATCAGATGTATATATGTATTAAGAACAAGAGAGGCCCTAGAATTGAACCTTATGATACCCCTAAAGAAATATTCCGTAAATTTGAAATACTTGTGCCCAGAACCACCTGTTGCTGTCTGATTCATCAATTTAATGCAGAAGATTTGACTCAAATTGAAAGTTTACTTTGGAAGTTTTTTATCCTACATGATTAAAAAGAATGTTTTCTTTATTTTCCCAGTTACTTAAAAAGTGCACATTTACTTACAATTTTCGCTTTCAACTCTTCTTGAGGAAAATCATGAACATACATAGATAGAATACCTTACATGACAGTTCAAAATCTGTAGAACAGAACTAGCCTATATCCTATACCTAGTATAGTTTATGCCAAGAAGTTACGTCAAAAGTGTCCCACGTCCAACCGTTAAGAAGTAATACCACAGAATAGCCCTAAGGTGCTTGATAAATTTTACTCAGGATCATTCGTATTCATAGACTACTTTTCACAAAAAAATCATATGTACATATACTTCTGAATTAAATTATCTAATAAGTCGGCAAATTTCACTTTATAGTGTTAGACAGATGTCCCCTTTCCTAACTATTGTGTCCGCCACTGTACCGCTTTCCTGGAAGATCAGAAATACAAATGCCAGAGCGAAAAATTCACTTAGCCCATTTATTGTCTTCCCTTTCACGCACTGGGAAAAATGAAACAGTTTGCATTTGATACGCGCAATATGACTGATGAAGATAAATGACTTTTTTATGGAATGTGTTTTACAGATTTAGCGATGATTATGACCTTTATGCGTTTTCATCTGCCTGGCCGTTTCAGAAGTGGATTGTTCTTGCAACATCAATGTGGAAATTGGCTAGCTTTTGATATCAAATTAGAATTCGTAGCAAATGGAAACTGAGAAATAAGATTTTATGTCGAATGGATACTGAAATCCGTTTTTTTTACCAACAATTTAATAACTGTCGTCTAGGCTAGGTTCAAAAATATTTGAAGGATACAGGGGGAAAAAGATGAATGCCACAAGAAGGATGTTTTGGAAAAAGTGAATTTAAAAGTTTGAGGACTCCTAGACTCGTTGTACAGAGTGAGTCAAAGATCTGACGGCGTACCATAGATTTCTCATTATAAGAAATTGAGAAAAGGCTGAATTGCAAATTAAAAAATATTTTTTAACATACAGGGTAGCCCAAAGTGAAGCCAGACCAAACATTTTTTAATGGAAAATCCTTTTTATTTGTGTATTTTGAGATTATCCTCGAGATTTTAAACATTTTTATGTGTTAGCGTCCATGCCTGAATTCAACTTTTTTGAGATATTGAGGTTAGAAATTGGCCTTGCGTCATATGCGACATCCTGTGAAATCTAAGGGTTGATTAACACAGGACAGGAAACTTATTACACAGAGCCTAGGACATAAGAAAAAGGTGATTTTATAACCTCGATAGCTCAAACACAGAATTATTTTTAAGTATTTTTTTTTAAAGGGACCGAAACAAAGCAATGAACCAAAAAATATTATTCAAAAGAGTATAGAACAAAACAAAGTTAATGATTACTTAAGGTTTATTTTTTTCCCCGCAGATTCGTGTATGGTAAATTATTTCGGTGACGATCAGTGGACGTTGATCTTTTTTTTCATACAACGGATGTGACATTCATCTTTTTTCCCTGTACGGAAAGTTTTCAAATGTCATTGTCATGTCACTGAACTGTCATTGTTTTTGCGTGTTTCCGATACATCATGGGATTGTGGTGCGTTAAGACTACATGTTGCCGGTTCTAACTACAAAACACCAAATATGTGACATTCATCTTTTTCCCCTGTACCCTTCATTTCTTGTTCTTACAAATATGGTGGTTGTGTTTCGAAAATATGGTATGTGCCTTTGATTCTGGCGTGGATCGACACCATTGGGACAGCAATAGGAGACTGGAGACAGAATCGGGAGACCAGAAACATGGAGTAGCACTCATAGAAAAAATCTGCCATTGTCACTCACTGTTAAATACTCAAATCCAAATCAAGAGTAGTATTAATTTTAAGAAACAATTACAGACCCAATGCGCATGGAACTTGTTGCTTAACATACTTGCTAAAATTCAAATTTGACAGATTAGCCTACTGGTCGTTGGTCGTGGTCTTCTGTTAATGTCTCCATGCGGAACAGGACCGTGCATGAACTTGACCATTTAAAAATTGCTAAAAATAAAAGGGAAAATCCCTGGTTGGTCAGGTATAAAAAATGGGCTACAGACAGGAGTACACATTTATGAAACGTGAAAAGGATATTACATACTTTGTCTGGTTTCTGGGCAACCAGGGCTGACAGATTCGACTAACGTACATTAGACAGTGACCAATGGGCAAAGGTCCAGCGGACGGCCCAGACAAACAAATGACGAATAGTAGTAAAGATATTACATTTTACACTGTTTTTATTTTTGTGAATTACATTTTATATAAACATATTTTGCGATGACAAGTAGGAAATACAAAGCAGCGCCTAAATGTAAAGCATTGCGGAAATATTTCGTGTGTGATGAGTGATTTCCAATTTTTCTGTGATGTTGCCTTGAAGGTAAGCATTTACCAATACGCACAAAGTTCCAGACACGATCTTGCTACTCGGCTACTCAACCAATTTTCCTTCATTCACATCTTCTACAGGATATCTAAGCATTCTGTAACCAACAAAGCACGCTAGCGAACTGACTTGCTGCATGGTCGTTGAGCATGTCGTTGGGTGATTTCTCCATAGGTGGCGCTATTAGTGACGCTCATTAGTGACGGAATAGCAGAATTAACTATTTATACACTAGCAGCTATCTAGTCAGCAAATTGACATTTTGTAAATTTTTTGACATATTATTTTTTACTTGATGACCCTGTCGGAGTGTCTCCAATTTTTGCCTGAAACCCTCACAGTATCAATTTCATGTCTAAAAATGTATTCTCTAGTCCCATGACGGATATATTTTCCACCAAGTCCGCCGGTTTAAGTACATCCGAGAGTAAGAAGTAGGGGAGACAAATCCCACACCTCTCAGTATATATTTTAGACGAAGGTGTCCAAATTATAGAGACCGCACTACTATAACACGATCACGTGTATCCGCAGCAGATTTGTAATGAACAGAGGGTGCTCAATAACCGAGTTACCGAATTGTGATGAGAATAGGGGAGAACAAATTGGCGAGCAGGTATTGGCAGTACGCGTCTACGAAGCGTGATAGATTGTTTCTATACTTTAAGAAAGTTATAATATCATATCCGGTTTATGGTTCTTATGTTATACAGGGTGTTTCAGAAAAACGTGGCAGTATTTCTAAGCCTTAAATTAGATGAAAAGATGGTACGAAAAGTTCGTATAAACATGGGCCTTTAAATGATCACTTATCGAGATAATTATATAATTTTGAAATCTAAAGTAAATTACATCTTCAGCGTGCATTAAGTTATTGACTTAAAATTCTGAACATGTAATACTGACATCATATCGTATACATACAAACATCTTCGTAGGGTCATACCAGTGGCGTAAAAATTAGGGGATTATGACCCCTACAGGAGAAAAAATATAATTAGTTTCCACGCCATAGACTAGGTCGAAATAACATCTTAGGATCTACGTTTATTGGAACTTTTTTCATGTTTTGATATACTTTCTAGAAATACTGACAAGTCTTTTTTTGAACTAGCAGGCACGTTAATGTAGCATCTGTTTTCTTGACCGATGAATAATACCACAGATGTGGGCTAGAAGATTCGCCAGCGGTCAAGCCACCACAGTGACCTTTTTCGAAGTACATTACATAAAAAATAATATATCTCACATGAAAAAAGAGAATAACAGTTTATCAGAAACGTTAGCATTCATTCCACAGATTGGCGATCCGAACTTGCTGAGTCACGTCGTAAGAATGAATAGGAAAGATAGTTTATATATCGGTGTAATACACACTGAAGAAATGCGTTCCATAAACCGATTCAATGAAACATGAAATAGAAAAACCCAGTATTGAAGAGACTGCTTTTCATGAAAAGCAATTTTACGAAACCATTCCATTCAATGATTGATGACTTATTCCACGGTCCCCATCACAAAACAAATACATCACCATCGTTATCAGAACTAATCATTATTGTTATAATTTATTATATTCTCTCTCATGAATTTACGTAAAATTAGCTTCTCTGTAAGTGGAGTGTAAGCTAGAGTCTCCATGAAACCAAGCAACTAGAATTGTTCGCGGCGTCCTTGCTTAATGACGATTCTTGTTTTTAGCTTTTTACTTACTTTTTTTGAAAATCCTAGCTAAAGATGTTTGCATCCGTAACAACCCAGCACACTGTGTACCTCTCCTCAATTCCCTCTCAAGCATTCCGGTCAGACGCGTCACCCGCGGCGGCGGGAACGACCGTGAACATCAAACAGATCCTCAACACCTCCAAGACTAGACACCACTCGCATAATAAGTATCTGGCTTACACGACCCCGGCTGTTTTGTGAAACTAAAACACGGTGACAACTTGAGCTTGGAAAGAAACGAGGACAAGTTAGCTGTATCTGTATACAATTCCTACACTTTCTTTAGAGATTTTTTAAAATTGACCATGCTCAAAGTTCACCAAGATCTCAAAAAACACAAACTCTACGATATACTTATTGTTTGTTGTTTTTTCCTTCGCTTCTATATTTTAGGAAACAACTTGAGTTATAGGGGAAACGTCAATTCCTGCTGATGCGTTTACCCATCCAAAATTTCATAAAAGGTTACTCCGTATCTAATGCATCGGATGCGTGGAGATCACTGTTGATTGTGCATAAAAATTTCGGCAAATCTTCACTAAGACAGGGTCGCTGATATGTACCTGACAGGTTTATATCTTGAATATTTGTGAAATGAAATAAAATACGTCCATGCTTTTCATCTTAATTTTTTATTGAAATTATGTATAAAAAATAATATCAGACAAATGTCCGCCTCTAGAAGCCGCCCAAACCTGAGCCCTCTTGATTACATTTTCCATCACTTTTTGGTAACTTTCAGGAGGAATATTTTCAATCGCTTCCGTAATATTGTTCTTCAGCTCCTCTACACTATTTGGCTTGTTGGCATATACCCTATTTTTCAAAAGTCCCCATAAAAGAAGTCAGGAGCCATTAAATCGGGTGAACTTGGTGGCCAGTTGGCATAACCAAATCGAGAAATTAAACGTCCCGGAAATATTGTTCTCAAAGGAACCACATGTTTTGCAGGTTAAATTGTTGGATTTGATTAGCCACAAAGTTTTGCACCATATCACGATAGCGCTCGCTAGTGACAGTAAAAGGATAACTTTTTTTTTCTTGGGGGGAAATCACCAAGAGGTACCTGAGACCGGATATCTAGCATCCGCACTCAGGTTATGCCACCTGGGCTAAAACCGCCTCCCCCACCCTCATGCTGGGATTCGCCGGCGCTTACTACCAGCATGACTGTGTCTCACACATGTCTTCGTTTCCTCAGCGGTTTCTGCAGTAAAATTTCCATGTATATGTCCTAGGAGTTTGGGCTGTCCGTTCTTCTTTCATTCTTGTCTTTAATGGATAGTATTTCCCTGATGAATCTTTGTATTTGTATCCACGATTGGTTGTTCGCCATCATGGTGCTGGTCAGATTACTCTCCGTCAGAGCGCGTCCTAGACTAACAACGACTTGTGCCCTATGTTGCTCCCATCTGTAACACTCGAAGAGAGTGTGTGCAACTGTGTCTTTTTTTGTCAGTACATGCATTCATCGATGTCTGATTTCTGTATTCTCTTCGTGAATACTCGAAAAGTACCATGCTGCGTTAGTGTCTGCGTTAAGTGGTAATCCAGTCTCCTGTGCTTGCAAGCAATCCACTTCCCGATGTCAGGTATTATTTTTTTTGTCCACTGAGCCACGTCCTCCGTTAAGTGCCACTCGTCCTGCCATTTACTGATGGTGACCTCGCGCTCCTCCCTTCTGGCCCTCACGGTTCTCCCATCTTCCCGGCGGTGCAGCCTCACTCTTTCTTCCACAAACAAGTGGATCGGTGCTATCCCTGTAATAATCTGTAAGGCCTTCGTGGAGACGGTCTTGTAAGCACTCGCCACCCTCAGCAGCATCTTCCTTTGCACTCCAATGAACATGTGCCTGTATCTAGTAGTGCTCATTATGTCATGCCAGATTGGAGCGCCGTAAAGTAATGTTGAAAGCACCACGCTATTTATAACCTCCCTCTTGTTGCTGGTAGGTCCGCCGATGTTTGGCATAATTCTTGCTAACGATGCTGCTTTTTTGTCTGCTTTTGCTGCCGTTGCCCGAATATGCTCCCGAAAGTGGCCTCCTTCTTCTAAGTGAATTCCTAGGTACTTAACAGACTTCTTTGGTGTTACGGAAGTTCCTCTGCAGTTAAAAGTAATACCAGCTTTACTCCGCTTCCCCTTTATAATGACAGCTTCTGTCTTCTCCGGTGCGAGTTCGAGGTGATGGGCCGTCATCCAGATGTCCACTATCCTCAGAGCTAAATTTGCCGCATGCACAGGGGCCTCCTCATCCTGCGCTAGCACTATCACTGCCAAGTCGTCCGCGAACGCAGCGGCTTTTACACCATGTGGCCATTTACTCCTCAGTACCCCATCGTAGACCAAATTCCATAGAGTAGGGCCCAAGACTGAGCCCTGCGGTACCCCGGATGTTATGTCTAAGGTCTCTTCTTTGGCTATCTGGAGTGACCTTCCACTGAGGTAGGCACCTACGAGATTTCGGAGGTATGGTGGTATTTTCCTTGTTTTCAGCTCCTCCATTATGTTTTGCCACGGTAGCGAGTTGAAAGCGTTTTTGACGTCGACTGTGATGAGAACGCCCCGTTTTTCCCTGCTGCCCTTAATGGTTTTAAGGACTGCGTCCACTGCCATCAACGTATTTCTACCTTTTCTGAAACCATACTGGAACTCTGATAGGCCACCCTTGTAATCGATTTCCTTCTGTAGCCTAGCAAGTATCAATAATTCATATAGCTTGCTAATTATTGTCAAGAGCAAGCAAATGGGTCTGTATTTGTCTTCTCCTTTCGGTATCGGTAAGAGTTTGGCCCGTTTCCAAGATTCCGGAAAGCTCTGTGTGGTGAGAAGGTTGTTTAAAAAGCCCAATACCCAGGTTGGTGACAGTTTCGAAGCCTCTTTAATTGCTTCTGGGGGTATACCATCAAGACCAGGGGCTCTACCCATTTTGAGTTTTTCTATGGCTTGTTCGAATTCCTCTTCCGTGAACATGTCTACGTTGTTGACCGTTTCTGTACTGTAGCTCCTAACTGCGTATGGTGGGAACAGTTCTTCTGCTATCTCCTTCTTTCGTTCTTTTGTCATGCTATAGGGCGCGAAAAATCGGAATTTTTTCATGACAATCCGATATCCGTCTCCCCATACGTCCTCGTTAATGCTGTCACAAAGTTCTTTCCAGTGTTTTTTCTTGGACTCTTTGATCATTTGCTGAAGCATTTTTTGTGACTTTTATACAAGGAGCTAGCTTCTTCGATGATCGCTTCCGGATGTCTGTGCCTGTGTTTGACGAGCCTCATGATGGTTCTACGTGCCTTGTGACACTTCTGTCTCTGTTGAGAGATATCGTTGCTCCACCAGTAGGGCATTCCGCTATGATTGTTATTAGTAGTGAGGCTAGCATGGTAAGCTTCTTTAATGGTGGCAGTAAAGTTTTCCTCTGTATGCGGCTTTTCTGGGTATTCTACTAGCTTGGACGAGAGTACCTGTCTAAAGACTTCCCAGTTACAAGTCTTGGTTGAGCCCCAGGATTGAGCTTTTTTACTGCTTAGCTGCTTATCTACCTCAACGTATATATATTTGTGGTCTGTGATGCTATCCTCATCGAGGACGCTCCATTTCTTCATGTTTGCTGCGATCTTCTGTGTCGAACATGTGACATCTATATAGGATTCTGTGCTACCTCTGACAAAAGTGGGGTTATCTCCGGTGTTATGCACAACCATGTTTGCAGCAGCAAGGCATTCAGAAAAGTACGTTCCTCTACTATCTATAAATGGGGATCCCCACACGACGCTCTTTGCGTTTATGTCTCCCAAGAGCACGCATTCCCTTCTTGATGTGACAATTTCAGATATTATCTTGTCAACCAGATCCTGAAACTCATTTATCGGAATATTTGAAGATATGTTGCAACAGTATATAGTGCAAAACTCGAGGTGTGGGCCCAAAAAACCGTCGTAGTACTTTATATCTTTAACCGTCACTTCCCGATTTCTAAAGTACACTGCAACGTCCCCTCTTTTGTCGCTGATCCATTTTTGAGCTTTTATGATGGTCTTATTGGGTTCCCCCACTATCAGTAGGTCTATGTTATACTCGGCTACCGTGGCAAAGGCTATATCGTGGGCTGCTGTTTGTCTGCCTAAGTTCGTTTGCAGTATTCTCAGGCTTTTCCGTAGATTTCGTTTAAACCTGTTTGTAGCATTACCTTCGACAGTCCCTGGCATTTTTTTCTTTACTTTACTTTACTTGCGGAAGCTGCCTCTCCTCTTTGCTGTAAGAATAACCTGCAGCGTCTTCAAAGAAGTAAGGTCCAATGACACCTCCGTACCAAACACCGCACCAAACTGTGACTCAACGTGGTCAATTCTGCTTATTAACAAATCCGTTCATATCGAAGTGGGCTTCATGGCTCATTATCACTTGTCGGTAAAATCGTTATTTTGGGTATTAAGCTACAATATTGCATGACTGTATTGTCGGCGACTTTCATGGTCACTAGGCTGTAGTTCTTGGGTTAACTGAATTTTTTATGGCCGCAAATGCAAGTCTTTTTTAAAATAGTGCATAATGACGTGCGACGAATACGCAGCTCTTGAGAACGATGTCTTGTAGACGTCTTAGGGCGCTCCACTACACTTTCACGAACTCTCTCGATATTTTCCGGAATACAGTTCTATCACGGCCCGACCTTGGCAAGTCTTCAACTTCACCTGTTTGTTCGAGTTTCCGCACCAAATGATGAATGGTGTTGACACTGGGCACATTATTTCGACCGACATCTTGTTGAAGCTTCCGAATCGTTACAACAATCGACTCATTATTTAAGTAAAACGTTTTAACAATACGGACGCGTTGTGGGATCGTGTAGCGCTGCTTGGTGAAATGGACACATGTGCTTTAAACAACTACTACGGCGCCACCTAGTGAAATGCGTATATCAAGAATGGTAAGCAATTTAAATCATTCAATTATACAGGGTGACTTCGAAGTTGAGTCATTTATTTTAACAGTGAGTAGATCTGATCAAAAGAAATGTTTTTTTCCTTTACCATTTTTCTGGTAAAATTAAAGTAACAAAGTTATAGCCCTTTGGAAGTTTGAGTACCGCCCTGCCTATTATATGCTCGTGTTTGGCGACAACGGATATAATCCGCCTGACCGGTTCATCGCATCGGAAACAAAA